AGAAACCAGTTGGTATTTAAAACAAATTTGCACAAAATCTGTTGCTTAATACTAACTATAAGTTTGGATCTAAAACTAACTAATTAAAAACATGCCTTTTAATGCTTAAAGAATATATTAATATGTTTGATTATATGTTGTAACGGACTTCTATAGGTTTTTAAAAAAGAGATCACCTAAAGTACTTGACCATACTTACCTGGGAGCAAACACATAAGGATTTAACAGAAAGATTAACATTCCCCCTTTTAGACATTACCTAACATCTCCGTCTCTCCACCTCTTGCTAAAAACCTTTCTAGAAGAATAAGACTGGTCTCCCCCAGTCACATCAAAAAGAAGAAAAACTTACATCACATAACATCAATAAAAATCACAAAAATATAAAAACTTCCTGTCACCTAAAAGCAGTAAAAAAACATCCAATCATACACAACAAATAACCATACATTAAAATATCACCGTAGAATAACAACAGTAAAAACACAACAATGCTCTGAAGAGAAAATAACACAGGTACATACAGTCACAAACTTATATTAAAAAATAATGTCTTTACTTCAATATGTTGATAATCTCCTGCTAGCTGCTGCTGCACATTTGGCTATACCTAATTATAATTTGCCGTTTAATTTGGATTTGAATTTTAATTCCTCTCATCTGTTTACAATTTTTCATTAATCCACCAAGTGGCACCATGGAGTTCTAAAAAGCTGTCTTATGATGCTGTGAAAAAATTTTTCTCTCTCACAAATTTCTTCTAATTTCTGATCTGCAAACATGTTTTATGTCAGACAAAGATTATCTGAGTACAAACAAGTACGTTTTAAACCTTTGTCTCAATAACTGACATCAAGCATTTGTCTAAAGTCGCAAAAAGTTTCTTAAATCTATGGTGGGGGATTTTTTTTCTTCAAAGAGGTGAATTATTTCAGCCACACTGGATGGGTTTCAAGCATAAAACAACATGGATTTATTCACTACAAATCAAACAAATAATTTTATTTATTCCTCTTTATTCAAAATAGTTTGTTTTGGAGATGTACCAAACCGATATTTACATCTGTATTGGCCCCAATACTGAGAAAAAAATTCTAATCCATAAACGCAGATCTATTCAGACTAATTCTATAATCGTTCTTTATTTATTTTACATAATATTTAGAATAATTAGACTTTCTGAACCATTTCAGAGAAGTTTTGTTGCATTTTATTTTGAAATTGTTTTAGTTTCGGTTTCCTGATCTTTAGAGAAAAAAGACAACTTCTACATTAAAAAAAGAAATTCTACTTATGATTGGAAAGTAAATCAATAGCAATATCAATAGATCAGGATGCCCAACATTTATTACATTTTCAGCAGTGTGGTTCACTTTCACACTGTGTCAAAATAAAAGCAGGTGAGTAGTTAAAGTGTAGATATATTGCTTGCAAAATATTGTAAATATTTAATAAATGTCAATTTATTGCATGTAAATATTTATAATGTGACGTGAGCTCAGAGTGCGAAGTTACAATTAGCTTTCCATAAGATTGTGTTCAAAAATATCAGTGGATAAATGGATTAAGGCTGTTAATGCCACAGCAGGTATGGAAAACCACAAATGCAATAATTAAATCATATAGAAATCTATTGTTGAATAAATAAAATATTACTTATTTTAAAAATATTTTGTCATTATTTCAACTTGAGTCTTGCAGAACTGATATCGTTTCCATAGCGATGACCAGAGGCAATACCTTGCCCTTGAAGTCCAGTGAGGTCACTGATGAGGTCATCAATGACAAAGAAATTCTACAGTAGGAATCTCAGTGCTTCAGTCAGGATTCAGACAGCTTTCAGAGAAGATTTGCGAACAACGATGTCTTGTTTGAACGCACTCGTGCCTTTCTTGATACCACTGGGTTGGGGCGTAGGATACGCCGTTTGCACCGCAATGAATAATTTATTTGATTATCGTCTTCCTGAGGAGGACGAAGGAGGTTGTCAGGACTTGCCTGATTCTAAGGAGTCACAGGACGTTGAGGATTTTGAGGAGGAACAAACCAACCCGGCTGGGGAGGTTTGTTCCAAACCATCGGACATCTTAGGGACTGTAGAATTAGACCCAATCGTGACCCTACCAGAGAGTACCGCAAAAAACGGTACTGTCTCCAGACAAACTGACCCGGCTGGGCAGGATTGTCATGAACCGACGGCTCCGTGTGCTGTTTGTGAGACAGCAGACGGAGACCTGCCAGACTCAGTTAGTACTGAGTCTGGCAGTACTAACTTTGAGCAAACCGACCCGGCGGGGGAGGTTTGCTCAAAGTTGACAGAAGACCTTGTGTCCCAGAGACGAGCCGCAGAAGCATCTGCCCCGGCTGGGGAAGATGTATCTGCGGCCGACCTTGCAGCCCAGGTTCTTGCTGAATTCACAGCAGAAACCTTGGCTTCAGTGGTCCCAGCTCTTAGATCATCACCAAGGTCTCTGAAAGGCACCGCTACCAGAGTCTTTGAGGTACCAAGTTCCCTGGCTAGGGAACTTCGTACCTCAGAGGCACAAAACAGGTCTTTCAAGGGTAGGGTCATGATTTCTTTCGAAATTAACAGTTTACCGGACGAGGATCATAATTCATAAGAGAGGGTCGGGTTAGACATGATAGATTGAGGGAAGTGGATGATTTTTAAGGATATTCTTGGTGTGTTGTGGAGGAATTGGGCCACACACACCAAATATTGGACCACATTCCTGTCGGGGGTGGACAAGGATCGATTTCAGTGAGTTTGGTGCAGCGCGGTCAAAACGTGAGTGATAGGTTTAAATTAATAACTTGCATTAACACTAATCATTGTCCTTATGAACAGTTAGACTGTTTAGTTGTTCTAGAATGTGTGATGTTTCTAGAGGAGCAGGAAGCGTGACAAATTGTAAACATATGCCAGCCGCCAGAGAACTGACCTGGCAGGAGTACCTCAAAGGCTAGGTTAAAGTTTATTAAGACAAAAAGTCCATCTTTTTTGATAATTTTTAACACCCAATGCCTTAATTCCCTAGGAGGACTTTGTTAAACTTTGACACGAGTAAAAGTTAAAATCAGGTAAAATTTGACATTTGACCCAAAATGGCCGCCCCTGTGCATCTTAGGGGGTACCGTCAACAGACTTTTTTTCTAAATGGGGGTGGAGGGATCTGCCTACGTATAGAGTTTCAGATTTCCACGACCTGCAGTTCTTCTAAACTCGCGATAGGTGGCACTGTAGAGCAGATTGGCCACGTCCGCTTGCGACTCCATCCAACATTTTCCTGGGGGGAATTTTGGGTCAAGTTTGGTGAGGTTTTGCATGTGATAAAGTGGAGGGCATTGGTTGTTTTGACGTTGGTCATGGCCGAGTTTCTGAGAGAGTGAGGTTACTTGTAAAGGATCAATACTTAATATTGTCAGTTTTCTTACAGTTATTCTGTTTTCTCAGATTTGTTAGCGGTTGTTATTAAACGCAGATGGACCGAGCCCAGCAAACTTTAATTAGAAAAGATCAGAAAATGACACAGCATGAAGTTAAGGGCCCCGGTAACTCAAAATCATGCAAACATGTAAAGAGTAAACGCGACAAAAAGCAGGGGGGAAAAAACCTCCGATTCGGCCTGATTTATGTCAGAAGCTCCAGACAAAGTTCCCGGAGTCTGTCACTGCCGAGCGAGTAGACCGTTTTCTGTGAGAATGAAGGTCGAGAGTCGAATCAGGCCGACACTGTGAATCAGTTTATTAGATAGAGAGGCGCCATTTTGAAGCACACGACAACCTTATTGAACCTCTGACATATTGAAACAACAAGAGGCAAAAAGGGTAAATTTATGCTATGTCGTAGGTTCGATTCCAGCTTCCTCCTGCCACACGTCGATGTGCCTCTGGGCAAGGCACTTAATCCCAAATTGCCTACCGATCTTCATATCGGTGTATAAACGTGAGCGTTTGTGATTGCGAATGGGGGAACGTGACTCTAATGTAAAGTGCTTTTACGAGAAAGCGCTTTGAAAATGACTGAAAAAGCGCCATATACGTTCAGGCCATTTACCGTTTAGTAATGCTAGTGTCAACGTTATACCATAGCTAAGCAGTAGCATCCTACATAAGTAGCTAGCACAAGCTAGTGTTAATTTGTGTAGCTAGCACTAACTTGTGTAGTTAGCACAAACTAGTGCTAACTTCTGTAGCTAGCACAAGCTTTACAAACTTGTGAAGTTAGCACAAACTAGTGCTAACTTGTGTAGCTAACACAAACTAGTGCTAACTTGTGTAGCTAGCACAAGCTTTACAAACTTGTGTAGT